GGCCAAATGAAGGACCCAGATGTGCCAAAAAGCTAGAGACCTTTCCTGAAGTTCTTCCATATATACTGAAAGAAGGCCACACTTCGAAGGCAACTCCCCTTCCACTGATTAATGTCTCACAGCAGATTCATTCCCCCGTGGAGTTTATTACACTACATCCTATCTCATTATGGGGAGTAACGATATCCAGCTGCCACAGCACTCAAAATCATAGGCCAGCCAAGTTGACACACAATCTAAACTACCACAGATACACATATAGACAAATGGAGTAGAACTGAGAGTTCAGAAATAAACCTATGCATCTATGACCAATTTATTTTTGACAAGGATGCCAGGTCCATTTAATGGGAAGGAACAGTCTCTTTAATAAATGGTGCTGAGATAATCAGATCATGCAAAAGAATGAAGTCAGCTCAACAACTTATACCATATACAAAAATTAACTCAAAATGGATGAATGACCTAAATATAAGAACTAAAACCATAAAACTCTTAGAATAAAACATAGAGGTAAAACTTGAATCCCTTGTTTTTGACACCAAAAGCACAAGCAACAAAAGAAAAATTAGATAAATTAGACTTCATCAAAATGAACATTTTTGTGTGTGTCAAAGGACTTTACAAGAAAGTGAAGAATGGGAGACAATATTCGAGAGCCCTATATCTAGCAAGAGTTTAATATCCAGAATATATAAAGAACTCCTACAACTCAGAAAAGAAGGGGCACACTTTAAAAAGGTTAAGACAGCGAACTGTTAAATATATATTTTACCACAATAAAGTTAAAAAGAAATACATACTCATAAAGCAATATTTCAGAGTTTAAGAGAATACCACACACATTCAAAGATCAAAAACATTAGACTACTTGCCCATGGGAGGAGATGTGGAGAAATGAAACAAAAGGGAAAAAATTTAAAAATACCTGAATTTATGTATAAGAAAAGGATTTAAGATTATGGGGATGGAGGGAGTCAGGGTAAATTCAAAAAAAAAAAAAACCCACCAAACTCACTGTTATTGAGTCGCATCTGACTCATAGCGACCCCTCCTTGGGTTTCCAAGGTGGTATCACTACAGAAGTAAATTGCCCAACCTTCCTTCCGAGGAGTGGCTGGTGGGTTTGAACTGCCAGCCTTCTGGTTACCAGTCAAGTGCCTTAGGCATTACGCCACCAGAGCTCCTGATGGATGGACTAAACCAAAAAACCAAACTCACTGCCATCGAGTTGGATCTGACTCATAGCGACCCCTCCTTGGGTTTCCAAGGTGGTATCACTACAGAAGTAAATTGCCCAACCTTCCTTCCGAGGAGTGGCTGGTGGGTTTGAACTGCCAACCTTCTGGTTAGCAGTCAAATCCTTAGGCACTATGCCACGAGAGCTCCTAAGAATGGACTAAGAAGAACAAAAAGGTCCTAGAGAAGATAGGATGGTATGTGATCCCAGGTAGATATTAGGAATAGCTTTTCTGCCAAAAATGTATGAATTGTGTCCCCTCAAAATATGCATTAGAATACTAACCCTTATACTTGTGGATGTAATCTCCTTTGGAAATAGGGTTTTCTTTGTTATGATAATGAATGTATGTAAGTGTAGAGTGTATCCTATACCTATTCACTTCTGAGTGATATAAAGAGCAGCTTTGACACTGAGACAAGCAAACACAAATAGGGAAGACAGATGCTAAATGGAGCTCACCTAGGAAATGAGGATAGCAGGGCTACAGAAGCTGAGACAAAGATCTTCTCCCAGAGTCAACAGAGAGAGAGCCTTCCTGTAGAGCAGACCAAACAAAACTCACTGCCCTTGAGTCAATTCTGACTCAACCCCCACTGGGTTTCAAAGGCTATAAATCTTTACAGAAGCAGACTGTCCCATCTTTCTTCCATGGAGCAACTGGTGGGTTTGAACCATGGACCTTTTGGTTAGCAGCCAAATGCCTTAAATTCTACACCACCAAAGCTCCTTTGCTCTATAGCTGGTGCCCTGAATTTGGACTTCTAGCCTCCTGAACTGTGTGAAAATAAATTCTGTTCTTTAAAGCCACCCACTTGTGATATTTCTGTTACAGCAGCTCTAGTAAACTAAGACAGAATTTGGCACTGAGAAGTGAGGGTGCTGCTTTAACAAATACCTAAAATGTGGAAGTGATTTGGAATTTGGTGATGGCTAGATGTTGGAGGAATTCTGATGTTTGATAGTATGAGCCAAGATTGCCTTGAAGAGACCATTGACAGAATTGTAGACATTGAGGGAGATTCTGATGAGGGCTCAGAAAGAATTAAGAGCTGTGGGAAAAGCTTCTGTTGCCATGAACAGATGTTGCTAGAAATGGACATTAAATGTGCTTCTGATGAGACTTTAAATGGAAATGATGAATAGGTTATTGGACACTAGAGGAGGGGTGATCATTTCTATGGACAATTTAAGGAACTGCGTCTTGGAACTTTCACCAAGGGCATGGCTGCATAATCTTTTGCTAAAGAGATTAGGCCTGTGACTGATGGATCTAATCAACCACTGCAGCAGAAATCCTGTCAGTTTAGACTGAAAGAGACAGAGACAGGATAATATAAAGGAAAGTTGTCTGACTCCTGGAATTTGACAGGTGGGAAATGGGCCAGTGGAGCTACTTGGTTGTTAACATCTGTTGTCCTCCAAGAAAAGGAAGGTACCATCCTGCGGGGTAGTAAATTACTTAGTGTGGCTTTTCTACCCATAAGTCTTTGTAAACTCCAAGGTGGGAATTGCTATTAGCAACTGAGATCCTGATTGCCCACCTGGAGTATTTCTGTTGGGAGTGGCACAAAACAATGTTCTGGGAGGTTCCCACTCTCCCTCAGGTGCTTAGAGTTCTGATGCTATGATTGGCTAGTTTGACCACCTTGCCGGGCTCAAAAGGAGTCCTCCTAGAGGCCTCTGTTAGCTGGTTGAGGAAGATGTGCTGCTGCAAGAGACACGCGCTGCTGGGAAAGAGATGCAAGAAACACACATCGCTGAGTGAGACACCGAGAGACCAGCACTGCTGGGAAAGAGACTGTGAGAAACTGTTGGCTGAGGGATGGTGGGCTGGGAGAGAGACTGAGCATTCTTCCTGAACTTGAGTTGTAGCCTGGTGCTTCCCTAATAAACCCCGTAATCCGTGAGTTCTGTGTGGCCACTGCAGCGAATTATTGAACCCAGGAGAGAGGTGGTGGGTGCTTTGGGAGGAACGGTTGGTGGTGAAAGGGCTGGAGGGAGGCAGCATGTCTGATCTTGCAGTAATAGGCCTTGGGTTACTGCTGGTAATCCTGTCTTCCTCTTGTGGGATTAGAGGAGGTCAGAACATGTGGCCTCCTTGCCCTTTTTGCACATCCCATCAAGAGTTTGGAGATCAGCAGAACTGTTGAAGGACCATGGTGGGGTAGAGGAGGCAGGGCTGCCTCTGTCTCAAAGGCTGGAACCACCACTTCCTAAGTTTCAAAGAGTGGAACCAGTTTCTTCTGTCTCAGTTCCAGAGGGTGGAGCTGCTGTTCAGGTGGACCAAGAAAGTGAGACCACCACCCAAAGTTGAGAGGGTAGGGCTGCCATCCCTGTGGGCCAGAAGACTGGGGCCACTGACCAAAGTTGAGGGGTTAGGCTGCCATGCCTATGGGACAGGAGAATGGGGCTGCTGCTTAAGGTTGAAGGGGTGGGGATGTCAATGTCAGTGGGCCAGGAGGATGGAGTAGCCTAAAGCCAAGAGAGCTGGGTTGTCATCTCAGTTGGCCTGGAAGGTGCCACTGATGCTCAGGACCTAGAGGCCTCCACTCAGAATCTAGAGAGCATGGCCAATGCCCAGATGGTTCCAGAGAACAGAGGATTATTTTCAAGCTTTGAGAGCTAATGAAATTTATCTCCTATTTGGAGTGGGAATACCGACTTTGTGCCTATTCCATCATTGTACTTGTTGAAACAGATAATTGATATTCTACTTTTCATAGGTCCACAGATGGAGAGGAATTTTGCCCCAGGATGGAGCACACCGAGTCTCACCAGTACTTGATTTAGATCATTTAGAAGATGAGATTTTTGGACTCAGAGTTGATGCTGAAATGAAAGACTTTGGGGATGATATGATGGCGTGAACGTGTTTTTGCATGTAGGAAGGACATAATTCTTCTTGGGGGGCAAAGGGTGGAATGTTATGGATTGAATTGTGTCCTCAAAAAAAATATGTGTTGGAATCCAAACCCCATACCTGTGTATATAATCCCATTTGGAAATAAGGTGTTTTTTTTATGCTAATGAGGCCATATCAGTGTAGAGAATGTCCTAAACCTAATCACATCTGAGTGATATAAAGACTAGGTTCGATACAGACACACACACAGATACCAAAAAAAAAAAACCTGAAAACCACTCTCATTGTCATCCAGTTGATTCCAACTCACAGCAACCCCTATTGGGTTTCCAAGGCTGTTGATCTTTATGGAAATAGTAGATCACCTCATTTTTCTTCCACAGAGTGGCTGGTGGGTTCAAACCACTGACCTTTTGGTTAGGAGCCAAATGCCTTAATGACTATACCACCAGAGCTCAGATACACAGATAAGCAAGCACAAACAGGGGAAAGAAACCGGCCATGTGGAGATTGCCAAGGAACTGAGGAACATTGGGGCTACAGAAGCTGAAAATCATCCCCCAGAGCCAAAAGGTAGAGAACTTTTCCCTATAGCCAGTGCCCTGAATTCAGACTTCTAGCCGCCTGAACTGTGAAAAAATAAATTTCTGTTCTTTAAAGTCACCTTCTTGTGTTATTTCTATTACAGTAGTACTAGGAAACTAAGACAGCAAGGGTCATACATGAAGATGGTATTTAGTTCTCTGAGGAGCTAATGTCAACTATCTCCAAGCAACCCTAAAAGTTTAGAATCTTTATGATGGATCATCTTCAGAGCATTTTAAAAGCATTGGCTTCTCCTAGTTAAAATGAGATTTATTTCCATGTCTCCCATCTGCCTGGGCACTCACTCACATGAACAGATTTGATGTGCAGGTTCCCCCTCCAGCATCCATGGCTCCTCCCCTTGCTCCAACTTGAAGATGACCTCAGGTTTGGGAACTTTGCATCCTGTTAACAAGACATAATAACAAGATTGTGTCTGGCTAATTAGGCTTCAGGGTCCTCTCACTGACACTCTGTATTTGCTTTTCAGAATAGTAAT